ATGAATACTATTGTAGCAATTGAACTAACACTGCCTGATCTTCCTATACTTCTCAATCTCGTCTGAATATTTTTTATTTGTAAAATTTTATCTCCCATCATCACACATAGTACCGTACGTTAAAACAACAACATGTCAAGTATTATTACTACTATAACCTCTCTTACTACTACAACTACAACTTCTGCTACTACTACTACTACTACTACTACTACTACTACTACTACTGCTACTACAACTGCGGTCACTAGTACTACTGCTGCTACAACTGCTGCTGCTACTACTACTGCTACTACAACTGCTATTACTACTACTACTACTACAACTTCTGCTACTACTACTACTACCACTACTACTACTACTACTACTACTACTATTAATACTGTCATTACTAAAAAAATTATACTATTACTCATATGAACAGCAACAGTAAACCACAATAATGTTAGAGGCGCGGGGATGATGGAATATTGTGCTCTTAGCAGCATTTGTAATCTTAGGACTGTAAAATCGTCTTTGAATACGTCTTACCTACGTAAAACAAGTTTACATGCGGGTTTACAAGAAAGTTTACAAGGTTTACATGAATCCGGTTTACAAGTAGGTTTACAAGTAAGGTCTCCAGCAAAATATGCAAAGTAGTAAAGGTGATTCATGGTTAAAGGTTTCTCTTTTTTTTTTTGCGTTTGCTTCAGAGGTTTCAAAGACCACGCATCATACACATTGCATATGATAGGCGGGGATCACTTTGTATTCGAACCCAGTCATAGCAATAGCAAGACCAGGCACCTTTAACGATTGAGCCATCACGCCGCCCATTAGTTTATTGCCTCTATTACAGTTGCTATTCAAATAGACATTCAACAATGTTTGTTTATGGAGCAGTTGTGTTCATCTGGGCAAAAATCTTGAACCTTCGGAAAAAAATGAACACTTGACGATTGTTGGGAGCTACGACACTGCTGTTGGAAATATAGAGGTCATTGAAGTTATAAGATCGGTGTTGGTAGTTAAGGGGTCTAGGGTCACAATATTATTATTATTATTATTATTATTATTATTATAACATTATTATTACTATTATTATTAGTTATTATTATTATTAATATTATTATCATTCAAACTTCTTCTTAATAATTTTTCCCGTCAAGGGTCACGACAATAATAAATCACTGAAGTTAAAACATATTTACGGGGTCAAGTTACGAGGTCAAGTTACGAGGTCAAGTTACGAGGTCAAGGGTCACGACAATAATGATAATAACAATAAGAGAAACAACAATGACAATAATAAGACGCTTTTTCGTTACTACCTTCCAGAAATTCCACGTATTCCTTCATGAGTTTCTCGTGTTTCGTTTCGCTTTTCATCAAGTCGGGCATGACACTAAAATCTGATGATGATGATGATGATAGTCGTGGTTGTGATGATGATGATGATGGTGATGATGGTGATGATTGTGATGATGATGATGATGATGAAGATGATGGTAGTCGTGGTTGTGATGATGATGACTGTGATGATGATGATGATGATAATGGTGATGATTGTGATGATGATGATGATGAAGATGATGATGATGATAGTCGTGGCTGTGGTGATGATGATAATGGTGATGATTGTGATGATGATGATTGTGAAGAAAAAAAAATCATCCTACCAACCAAATAAAGACATCTTCCCAGCTATTAAGAAATGTGTGATTTAACAAAAACAATGCTACTAAGTTTTTTTTTAATTTCAGTATCACTTCTGCTACTACTACTACTACTACTACTACTACTACTACTACTACTACTACTACTACTACTACTACTACTACTACTACTACTACTACTACTACTAACGCATAAATGAATGAGTGAGTGAATGAATAAATGAGTGAATGCTACTACATCAACAACTACTACTACTACTATTACTACTACTACTACAAATAATAATAATAATTATTATTATTATTGTTTTGTGAGAAATTGAAATGAGAAACCTGCTTTTTCTTGCAGTCCTGTAAAATTGTAGGAAAATAAAGAATGAACGAACGAATGAATAAATGATTGATCGAATGAATGATTGAGTGAATGATTGAATGAATGAATGAATGAATGATTGATTGATTGATTGATTGATTGATTAAATAAATGAATGAATGATTGATTGAATTAATGAATGATTGAGTGAATGAATGAATTAAATAATGAATTAATCAATTAATTAATCAACAAACGAATGAATGAATGAATGAATGAATGAATGAACGAATGAATGAATGAATGAATGAATGAATGAATGAATGAATGAATGAATGAATGAATAAATGAATGAATGAATGAATGAATGAATGAACGAATAAAATAATTTTCAACTCCGAGAGATGACGTCAGACTCGCAGAGATCGAAAAACTTTCCAAGCATAGGCTGGTTGTATTCTACAATAAAAAAAAAATAAAATTTAATTACAGATTAATCACAATTTATAATTTCAAATAAAGAAATAAATGAATGAATTAATTAATTATTCAATTATAAAGTTATTTAATTAGATTAAAATTTGAAAAATTCTTTTTCTCCTTACTTTCACAAAATGCTCTATACTCGGATATTAGGTCTTTGATGAAAGTAGCTGGATGGTTCTTTGCTTTTGATTCTTTGTTGTTGGTGGTGATGATGATGATGATGATGTTAGTTATCGATGATGATGATGATGGGTGTGATGTTGGTGATGATGATGGGAATGCTGGTGATGATGTTGGTGATGATGATAGTGGTGATGATGATGATGGTGATGATGATGATGATGATGATGGTAGTAATGATGATGATGACGGTGAGAATGTTGGTGATGATGATGATGATGATGATGTTAATGGTGATGATGATGATGATGGGGATGATGTTGATGTTAGTGATGATGATGATGATGATGTTGGTGACGATGGTGGTGATAATGATGATGATGATGATGATATACGAACTCATCATGTCGTTAAAATAAGCGTCCATTCTGACTGTATAAGTCATCTCGCTGTGAAGTACAATCAGTTGGTTGTTCAAATATTCTGGTTGGTGACGATCATGATGATGATGATGGTGGTGATTGTGATGATGATGATGGTGGTGGAGATGATGGAGAAGATGGTGGAGATGATGGTGATTGTGGTGACAATTATGATGATGATGAGAAAGATGGTGATGATGAAACGATTTTTGTTCAAATATTCTGAATGATGATGATGATGATGATATTATTAGTCATCATCATCACTATCACCACCACCATCATCATCATCAACATCATCATCACAATCATCGGCATCATCATCAAAACCGTCGGTTGGTTTCATCA